GAGTTCAAGACCAGCCTAGGCAATGCAGTGAGACCCTGTCTCTACAAAAAAAAAAAAAAAAAAAAATCAGCTGGGCATACTGGATTGCACCTCTAGTCCTTAGCAAAAAAAAAAAAAAAAAAAAAAAGATTGCTTGACCCTAGGAATTTAAGATTACTGTAACAAAAAAAAAAAAAAAAAAAAATAGCCTGGGTGACAGGACGAGATCCCAGCCTAAAAATAAAAAAAAAAAAAAAAAAAAAATCACGCCTGTAATCCCAGCACTTTGGGAGGCCGAGGCAGGCAGTTGACTTGAGGTCAGGAGTTCAAGACCAGCCTGGCCAACATGGGGAAGCCCTGTAAAAAAAAAAAAAAAAAAAAATAGCCAGGCATGGTGGCACATGCCTGTGATCCTAGCTAAAAAAAAAAAAAAAAAAAAAAAATCACTTGAACCTGGGAGGTGGAGGTTGCAGTGAGCGAAAAAAAAAAAAAAAAAAAAAAGCCTGGGAAAGAGAGCGAGACTCCATCTCAAAATAAAAAAAAAAAAAAAAAAAAAAAAGCCCAGCACAGTGGCTCACGCCTGTAATCCCAGCACTTAAAAAAAAAAAAAAAAAAAAACACTTAAGCTCAGGAGTTTGAGACCAGCCTGGGCAACAAAAAAAAAAAAAAAAAAAAAAAAAAAATAAAAATAAATTAGGTGTGGTGGTGCGTGCCTAAAAAAAAAAAAAAAAAAAAAGCTGAGGCAGGAGGGTTGCTTGGGCCAGGGAGATTGAGGCTGCGGCTGTGATCGTGCCACTGCACTCCAGCCTGGGCAACAGAGTGAGACCCTGTCTAAAAAAAAAAAAAAAAAAAAAAGGTGGGGCTTCCTACATATGAGGACGGGGTGTGTGGGGATGGTGGGTGAGGCCCGGGATGTGTGGGGATGGTCAGGGCAGTGCTGGCTGTCTTCCCAAAAAAAAAAAAAAAAAAAAATCTTGTGTGGCTTGTGCTGCATTGGGGGCCACAGAGTTAAAAAAAAAAAAAAAAAAAAAAAGATGGTGTCTGTTTGGCATTTATTGGTGGTGTCTGAAAAAAAAAAAAAAAAAAAAAATGTGTTTCTCTCTCCAGACCAGCTCCCACGGTACAGGGAAAAAAAAAAAAAAAAAAAAAGTGTCAGTGCTGGGCCCTGGTGCCACTCCCTAGGGAAGGGCAGGCGGGGCTCCGGAGGGTCTGGCCCTAGCTCTGGCAGACCCATCCTCAGTAAAGCAAAAAAAAAAAAAAAAAAAAACCTGCGAGCAAGCGGAAGGCAGGCAAGGGTTGGGTAGGAAAAAAAAAAAAAAAAAAAAAACAAACCTGGGGGCAGATAGCTGGAGTTCACTTTCTGTAAAAAAAAAAAAAAAAAAAAAACTGACACAGACTCTGGAAGGAGCCACCCTAATTGCTCAAAAAAAAAAAAAAAAAAAAAACGCCAGTGACAGCGAGCATGCCTGCCCAGGGGTGGTAAAAAAAAAAAAAAAAAAAAAACGTGAGCAGGAGCCGCAATGAAGGCAGGCCCAGGATCAAAAAAAAAAAAAAAAAAAAAAGGCCTAAGTGGTCGAGGCCTTCTCACCTGAGGCCAAGAAAAAAAAAAAAAAAAAAAAAACGCCCCAGGGAGCCCCAAGAGAGATGAAGCCATCGATGAAGCGGTCCTTCCAGGCCTGGGGCTGGCGCAGCAGGAAATAGAGCAAGTGTAGACAGCCAAAAAAAAAAAAAAAAAAAAAGACAGGCTTCCCATAGGCAGCGTGCATCTCCTCCACCAGCCCTGCGAGCTTGTGGTAGTACTCCTCCTGCTGGCCTGCAGTGGGTGGGAGGGGTCAGAAAAAAAAAAAAAAAAAAAAACTGCCCCACCCCAAGCTGGTCATCCGTAGAGACACTCAAAAAAAAAAAAAAAAAAAAAATAGGGGGCGGCGCGCACAGTCTCGTCCCGCACGTAGCCAAAAAAAAAAAAAAAAAAAAACAGTGTGTGCAGGTACCCTGTGGGGGGAGCAGCAGCACCGGGGGCTGGGCCATGCCTGCTGCGGGCCAGCACCCCAGCCTGGAGCCCCAGCCCTGCCAAAAAAAAAAAAAAAAAAAAATTGCTGCTGTCCAGGTACTCCACAGAGTAGGTCTTGCCAAAGCCGGGGACGCGGATCTGGACACCAGGGGCGTTGGACACAAGCCCAGAGCTCCGGTAAAAAAAAAAAAAAAAAAAAAGGGGTGCCACTCAGCAGCCAATAGCCAAGGGGCAGTGTAAAAAAAAAAAAAAAAAAAAAATGGCTGTACCTGGTGTTATCGATCCAGCAGTCTACCCAAAAAAAAAAAAAAAAAAAAAGATCCAGCCAGATGGTGAAGAAGTCCTCTGTCTTGCGGAAAAAAAAAAAAAAAAAAAAATCTGGCTTGTCCAGCTTGGCTTCTAGCTGATTCCCCAGGCAGCCGGGCACTGTGAGTAGCGGCCCTCACTCTGGACTCTGGATTCCCCCGGTGACCCAAAAAAAAAAAAAAAAAAAAACTGCAGTGACCAGACCCACCCCCAACCTCCCACACCCTAAAAAAAAAAAAAAAAAAAAACTTACCCTCCCCTGCTCACACCCCCTCTCCCCGCTGTCCCCCCAGTAGCCAAAGCCCAGGCCTCCCTGAGGAAGGGAAGGTGCTGAGGTGCTGAGGCAAAAAAAAAAAAAAAAAAAAACTGCAGAGCAAACACCCAGCCTGGCGCTCCTTTATTTCAAAAAAAAAAAAAAAAAAAAAATAGGTCTAGGGGCAGGGGGGCTGGGCTTAATAGGGGCAAAAAAAAAAAAAAAAAAAAATGCTCACCGGTCCTGGGCTGGGCATCTTGTCCTTGGTGAAAAAAAAAAAAAAAAAAAAAGGTGGGGTTTGGCCCAGAGTCTGGTGTGGCTGTGGCTGACCACAGCTTGTGATGCCCCAGCCAAGACCTCAGGCACATCCTGTCCCCCACTCCGCCCAAAAAAAAAAAAAAAAAAAAAGACACATAGTCGGGCGTTGGGGAGAAGGGAGGTCATTCAAAAAAAAAAAAAAAAAAAAACCCCTCCCCACACCAAGGCAGGTACTTACACCGGGGCTAAAAAAAAAAAAAAAAAAAAAGGCCAGGTCAGCTGCCAGGGGCTGGGGCCCAGGCTCCCAAAAAAAAAAAAAAAAAAAAAAGGGGCCTGGTGGGGGCTTACCGAGGATGACGGGCCGTAAAAAAAAAAAAAAAAAAAAATTGGGCGTGGTGTGCGGGGGGAAGAGCACATTGAGGAGCCAGAAGGGGGCGGCAGGAGGGAGCAGCAGCCCCAGCAGCAGCGGCACCCACTGCCATGAAAAAAAAAAAAAAAAAAAAACAGCCCTGGTGCCTACTGCCAGAGGAAGCGGCACTGGGCTGGCCTTATCTGGTGTGGGAGTGGGAGGGGCCCTAGGGCCAGTGGGAGGGACGGCCTGAAAAAAAAAAAAAAAAAAAAAAGATTGCCGGAAAGGGGCACAGCCTCAGGGAGCCGGCTCTGGGCCTGGGTTCAGTTCCGCCTTCTTCTCTTGGCGCCAGGGGAAACAGAGCCGGGGCAAAAAAAAAAAAAAAAAAAAACAATGTTTTATTGAAAAAGTCAGGCCTCAGCTCGGCTGAAAAAAAAAAAAAAAAAAAAATGGGGGGCCCTGCCCATAGTTGACTGAGCCAGATCTTCAAAAAAAAAAAAAAAAAAAAATCCCTCCCTGGCTACCCTTCCCTTCGTCTCTGATGGTGAAAAAAAAAAAAAAAAAAAAAAATAAATAGCGCTCCTGGACTGGGCTGCGCCAGCTGCCAAAAAAAAAAAAAAAAAAAAAACCAGTCTTCTCTCGCCAGGACAGGCCTACTGGGGTGCAAAAAAAAAAAAAAAAAAAAACTCCCACAGTCCCACAAGACCTGGGATCCATCTCCATTAAAAAAAAAAAAAAAAAAAAACAAGGAGACCTAGCAAAGCTGGATCCAGGACAGGGCCAGGCAAGCAGGGCTGGCAAGTGGGTGCTGGGAAGAGGCTGTTACCCCAGACCACAGCTTGAAAAAAAAAAAAAAAAAAAAAGACTCCAGGCCACAAGATGACACTGGGCTCAGGAGTAGAAAAAAAAAAAAAAAAAAAAACCACCACGCACCAACAGCACCCGCTCAAGGCCCTCGGTAAAAAAAAAAAAAAAAAAAAAGTCTGCAGGGCCTCAAGTCAAGGAGGCAGCAACAGAATAAAAAAAAAAAAAAAAAAAAATGGGCCACACCCACCCAGGGGGCCCGGGAGAGGAGCTGAAAAAAAAAAAAAAAAAAAAACCCACCTCCCAGTTGCTGCCCCTCCACAAAGGGATCCAGTTCTCGTCGCCCTCGCTGTTCTTGGGTGGGCCAGGCATGTTTAGGAGAACCAGGCGGGAAAAAAAAAAAAAAAAAAAAATGACTTCATTGAGCTTCACAGCGGTGTGCATGCGTCGCAAAAAAAAAAAAAAAAAAAAAGTAGTGCAGCCAATCACAGGTCACCATAAGCCATCCTGAAAAAAAAAAAAAAAAAAAAAGTCCACCTAACACCACTTGTCTGCCCCACCCCACCTCCAAAAAAAAAAAAAAAAAAAAATGGGTCTGTTTTTGCTGCACTCACGGCTTAATATGCACAAAAAAAAAAAAAAAAAAAAAGGCATGGCTGGGGTCCCAGGTCTCAGTCATGTACTTGTAAAAAAAAAAAAAAAAAAAAATCTTGTCAGCCCCCACTGCAGACTCATCTTCCTCGTCTGAGTACAGGCTCTCCAGCCGCAGGGCCGAGTGCCGATCCTTGACCAGCTGGGCCTGGGGAAAAAAAAAAAAAAAAAAAAAGGTCCCATAGGAAAAGGGGGACGGGGCCTGTCTGGCCCAAAAAAAAAAAAAAAAAAAAAGGAAATGAGCACTGGCTTGGGTAGGGCTGCGGTGAGTCAAAAAAAAAAAAAAAAAAAAACCGACGTGGTCTCTAAAGGCCTGACCCTGCCACCCGCCCTGCCACAGTACCACAAAGGGCACTGACTTCTCGCTCCCGCTCAGTCTTGGTCAGTCTCAAAAAAAAAAAAAAAAAAAAACGCTGCTCCATCATCAGCGTCCGCTCGTAGGTGTATGCAAAAAAAAAAAAAAAAAAAAAGGGAGAGGGTAGGCCGTGAGGACCCAGCTGCATGGGACATGGTATCCACGGGGCCAGGGCAGGACAGGGAGCTCACCATCTCCACCACCTCCACCTCAAAAAAAAAAAAAAAAAAAAACAGGAAGACGGCCAGGTCCTTCTTCATCTGGATGCTATAAAAAAAAAAAAAAAAAAAAATGAAGATGCGCATCCGGCACTTCCTCCAGACCTGAGGCAAAAAAAAAAAAAAAAAAAAAGGTCACAGCCGCTCCTCCGAGGGCCTAGCCCCTCTCACAAAAAAAAAAAAAAAAAAAAACCTTATGCTGGCGCAGCAGGAAGGGCAGAAGCATAAGCAAAAAAAAAAAAAAAAAAAAACACCACACGTCTATGTGGCCCTCCAGGTAGCGCTCGTGGTTGCTGGGGTAGAAGGCGATGTTCTTGGGCACGAGCAGGGCCAGGTGGGCAGCCGTAGAAAAAAAAAAAAAAAAAAAAAAGGAGGGGCACGGCTGACCACCAGCCTGTGGCCCTCCAAAAAAAAAAAAAAAAAAAAAACCCTGCCCACCAGGCTCAGCCCAGGCCCCAGGCCCTCAAAAAAAAAAAAAAAAAAAAAAGGCACGGGGGTCCTCGCTCTGTCGCCAGCCGTAGGGCCAAAAAAAAAAAAAAAAAAAAAGCCGCATGCCGCCCAGGCCACAGGACTGGATGAGGTGGAAAAAAAAAAAAAAAAAAAAACTGGCCACCACCACCTGGCAGAAGCCCTTCACCTTCTCAAAAAAAAAAAAAAAAAAAAAGGTCTGTGGGGAACACACCCAGGGCCAACGGGAAGCCAAAAAAAAAAAAAAAAAAAAAACCCTCCCAAGGCCCCTTGGGAACAAAACGACTTTGGGGAAAAAAAAAAAAAAAAAAAAACAAGCTGCCTACCCGGAGCCCAAGTTTTCAAGATGGGACTGCCGGCCCCCCCTTGTGCCAGCTCTCAGGTGGCAGCAGTGCTGGCTGCCTGGCTGGTAAAAAAAAAAAAAAAAAAAAACTTCCCCTCCGTCAGCTGCAGCCCAGACTCCTGTAGTCAAAAAAAAAAAAAAAAAAAAAACCAGGTACCTGCTCGGCAGCCTGGGCCTCGCCATAGCAAAAAAAAAAAAAAAAAAAAATGACAGAACCAACAATGGTCAGGCCCTTGCCGGCCTTGAAAAAAAAAAAAAAAAAAAAAAGCCGTGGGTACTTCACGTGCAGGTCCTCGTCCAGCTTCAGCAGCACCAGCAGCTGTGGCCTGCAGTGGCCGGGTGGGGGAGCCTGAGACCAGGGCCAAAAAAAAAAAAAAAAAAAAACTCTTCTCTTCTTGGGTGATGGTCCCTGCGGATTTGGGAAAAAAAAAAAAAAAAAAAAACCCTGGCAGCCCCAGGACGGGGAGCTGACACCTCTCGAAAAAAAAAAAAAAAAAAAAAACCCTGAGAACCTCTGCGCCCTGGCCAGGGTCTGGTGGGAACTCACCGCCAGTTCTTGGTGTGAGGAGGCCCCTCCTCCAGCCGCAACAGCGCGTAGCAAAAAAAAAAAAAAAAAAAAACTCGGATCCCGTCACCCCACTCCTTCTCAGCCCTGCAGAAAAAAAAAAAAAAAAAAAAACCCTGGTGCTGCCCAGGGGGTTCTGTCTATGTGGATGCAAAAAAAAAAAAAAAAAAAAATCAAGACCACCCCGGGTCCTGAGTTACAGTCCCCAGTCAAAAAAAAAAAAAAAAAAAAACTCCCCACCCACCCCAACGTCAGACCACCCTGCCTGTTCGGCTGGGCCCCCTCAGGGCAGTGCAGGCTGCCGGCAGAGGCCAGGTGGCAGCGCTCACAAAAAAAAAAAAAAAAAAAAATTTGTAGATCATGCCGGCGATGAGCATGGCCACCAGGGAAAAAAAAAAAAAAAAAAAAAACATAAGGGCCAGGCAGAGGCTCATGCCCAGGAAGGACAAAAAAAAAAAAAAAAAAAAAGGGCAGAGTCAGGGCAGGACCAGGAGGGCCCCCGGCCAAAAAAAAAAAAAAAAAAAAAAGGCCCTGTCAGGTCCCAGGTGGGAGGTCCCAGGTGGGTGGTCAGGTCACTGGGTGGGAGACCCAGGTCCAGTTCCTCCCCAGCCCCATAAACTCCCTAAAAAAAAAAAAAAAAAAAAACCTACCTACCTGGGAAGCCCAGGCCTCATCCAGAATGAAAAAAAAAAAAAAAAAAAAAACTCCCGTGTCAGAGGCGTGGCTCACCAGTGATAGTACTAAAAAAAAAAAAAAAAAAAAAGGGTCCTCAGGAGTGTCTGCACTGCACAGGCCAGGTTCAAAAAAAAAAAAAAAAAAAAAAAGAACCTGTGGCACAGGGGACGGTTGGTGAAGAGCGGAAAAAAAAAAAAAAAAAAAAATGACATCAAGCTGGGACTGGCCCTGCCCTGCATGGCTTAAAAAAAAAAAAAAAAAAAAATTGCTGCCACTTTCATGGCCTGAGGTGATGAGACTACTAAAAAAAAAAAAAAAAAAAAAGCAGAGGATGGGCAAGGGTTCGCCAGCGGAGGAGGTAGGAAAGGGAGTAACGGGGCAGAGCTGGAGGGTGGTACAGGGGTGGTAGGAAGAGCTCAGTGCCTGGAGACTCTAGGCCACACTCAGGCCTCTGGCCTGGGTGACCAGCTGGATGAGGGGAAAAAAAAAAAAAAAAAAAAACAGCAAGATGAGGCGGACCATTTGAATGCACCCAGTCAAAAAAAAAAAAAAAAAAAAAAGGTGGGTGTGGGAGTCCCAGGCATGGGCAGGGCTGGCTAAAAAAAAAAAAAAAAAAAAAAGCTGAGGATGGGAGCACAGGAAGGAAGGAGGCAGGTGAAAAAAAAAAAAAAAAAAAAACGACACCAGCCTAGTCAAGATGGTAAAACCTCATCTCTAAAAAAAAAAAAAAAAAAAAACTGGGCGTGGTGGTGCATGTCTGTAATCCCAGCTACTCAGGAGGCTGAGGCAGGAGAATTGCTTGAACCCAGGAGGCAGAGGTTGCAGTGAGCCAAGATCACGCCATTGCACTCCAGCCTGGGTGACAGAGTGAGACTCCGTCTCAAAACAAAACAAAAAAAAAAAAAAAAAAAAAATGGAAGGGGCAGCAGTGGCTTCAGGGGAGCATGAGGGAAAAAAAAAAAAAAAAAAAAAAGGGAGAGGTCTGCCAGCCACCTGCTTTGGGGGCTCTCTAAAAAAAAAAAAAAAAAAAAAGTCACTTTATAGCTTTGGCATAGGTGCCAGGCTTGCTTAAAAAAAAAAAAAAAAAAAAAGCCCTGCCAGGCCACATCTCCCCGTGCAGCCTGCCACATCTCCCAGCTGCGCCCCCAACACCAGACACAGCCACGGGAAGGTGCTGGGGTTCAGGGAAAAAAAAAAAAAAAAAAAAAATGCCCTGCCCAGCCCCAGCTCACATGGATAGGATGGGGAAAAAAAAAAAAAAAAAAAAAATGAGGATGCCCAGTTCGGCGATGAGTGCCGTCAGGAGGAGTGCCCATGTGGGTTCACCATTCACCTTCCCGTGGCCAAATACCTGTGTGCACCAGGAAAAAAAAAAAAAAAAAAAAATCCATTCCACACCTTGGGCCCCAGACCCCAGCCTGGCCAAAAAAAAAAAAAAAAAAAAACTTGGGGGCTTAGGCCGCCTCTGTGCCTATCCCTGTGGAAAAAAAAAAAAAAAAAAAAACCACCTCCCCAGGCCTCTCTCCTTTGGATGAGCCCTAAACAGGCCATGAAGATTCTGGGTCCAGGCAGCTCCAGGCCCAGGGCAGTGTCAGCCCAGGAAAAAAAAAAAAAAAAAAAAATGGATGGCTGCCTGGCCCCGGGGCTACTGAGGACAGAAAAAAAAAAAAAAAAAAAAAAAATCTCTCTCCCCAGCTGGGCGAGGACCTGGGAGCAGCCAAAAAAAAAAAAAAAAAAAAAGGGCTCACCCGGAGGAAGGGGATGATGTTGTCCTTGGCAAAAAAAAAAAAAAAAAAAAATGCCCCCGTGAGGCTCTGGAGGCCAGCACCACATGTTGAAAAAAAAAAAAAAAAAAAAATGACCCAGGGTGAAGGCCAGGCCAGTGTGCCCACCACCAAGTTCCTGCTGACGCCATCGCCATACCTGCAGGGGCCACCAGAGTGAGGGATGTCAGGAAAAAAAAAAAAAAAAAAAAACCACCAAAGGTAGCCAGCAGCCTGAGGACCACCCACAGAAAAAAAAAAAAAAAAAAAAACAGGCCAAAGCCCAGCCGCTGCTACAGAGAGGGGCCCAAAAAAAAAAAAAAAAAAAAAAAACCACACCCTCGATGCAGGCGCCAAAGAGAACCACACAAAAAAAAAAAAAAAAAAAAACAAGGAAAACTCGGCCTCCGCCACCCCACTGTCCCTGAAAAAAAAAAAAAAAAAAAAAACCAGCCAGACCGCAAGGACTGGGAGTATCATGGTGTGTAAAAAAAAAAAAAAAAAAAAAGGGGAGCTATATATGAGTGTGTGGGGTGTATGTGTATGAAAAAAAAAAAAAAAAAAAAACCAAGCGCCTCCCGTCCTCTGCCCAACCTGCCCCAGGCAAAAAAAAAAAAAAAAAAAAAGGAAGTTGTAATGATGGCCAGAATGGTCCCCACAGGGAAAAAAAAAAAAAAAAAAAAAAGGTCCCCAGAGCGGTTTGAGCCAGCCATGATACCTCCAAAAAAAAAAAAAAAAAAAAAAGGGGCTCCCCGGGATTGGGGACAGGGATGGGTGGGTAGAAAAAAAAAAAAAAAAAAAAACAGAAGGGAAGAAGATGCCGACCAGCACGGTGAATGATAAAAAAAAAAAAAAAAAAAAATACAGAGGCAGGCTCTCTTTCAGGCTCGGGGTATCTGCAAAAAAAAAAAAAAAAAAAAACACGATATCACCCTTCTCCAGGTAGGCGCTCCACAGGTAAAAAAAAAAAAAAAAAAAAACACCACCACAGCCGCCCCCGACTACCCTGGGCAGTTTGGGGCAGCCTAGCCAGAGGCTGCAGATGCAGGGCAGTTTTGGGGACTCAGGAGACAGCTTAAAAAAAAAAAAAAAAAAAAAAGCCACAGGGCTACCCTGACCACAGGGAAGGAGCTGCCAAAAAAAAAAAAAAAAAAAAAAGGTGGCTGAACCACCATCACCCAGAGCCCCCTACTGCAAAAAAAAAAAAAAAAAAAAAATGGATCCTGTGGGAACATCCCCAGGCAGTGTCAGGGGCTGGTGGCTAGGGAAGACAGGCTGCTGCAGGCCTTGGATGCTGGCCAGACAGGCTTCACAAAAAAAAAAAAAAAAAAAAAGGAGCCAGGCTGGGAGGACACTGCTGGGCTGGGAAGGCAAAAAAAAAAAAAAAAAAAAACAAGCTGGCCGCACAAGGACAGCTCTGTGTTCTGCACCAAAAAAAAAAAAAAAAAAAAAAGAGCAGGAGGATGGGAGGGAGGACCCACCCTGGAGCAAAAAAAAAAAAAAAAAAAAAATGCCAGGGATCTCGGTCACATTGTTGAGCAGGAAGTAGAAAAAAAAAAAAAAAAAAAAAAGGTTGGGGCTATGGCAGAAGAAACTCCATAGCTGGGTAAAAAAAAAAAAAAAAAAAAATACAGCTGTCTTGGCACAGATGTCAAACTGGTCCCGGGAAAAAAAAAAAAAAAAAAAAATGCATACCCTGTGAGGGACAGAAGCATTGGCACCTGCTAAAAAAAAAAAAAAAAAAAAAGCTCACCCTGCAGTCTCTGGGATCTAGGGCATCAAAGGAAAAAAAAAAAAAAAAAAAAACCATGCAATGCCCAGATAAATTCCTGGGTTACTTACGGAAAAAAAAAAAAAAAAAAAAAAGACTTGATGCCCCCAGCATAGATGGAAAGGATGGAGAAAAAAAAAAAAAAAAAAAAAAGTGAGGCAAATTTGTTCACATACTTGACCCCCACAAACAAAAAAAAAAAAAAAAAAAAAAGGAAAATAGTCCCATACACACGCATATTGTTCAAAGTAAAAAAAAAAAAAAAAAAAAAGCCCAATGGGTAAAAAATGGCAGCCGGTGGGGCAATGTAAAAAAAAAAAAAAAAAAAAAATAAAGAGGGTTTTATCTTCTTATTTGGAAAGTGAAACAAAAAAAAAAAAAAAAAAAAATAAGAGCACCTAAAAGAGGCTGGGCGCAGTGGCTCAGGAAAAAAAAAAAAAAAAAAAAAGAGGCCGAGGTAAGGGGATCACTTGAGGTCAGGAGTTCAAAAAAAAAAAAAAAAAAAAAGGGAAACCCCATCTCTACTAAAAATACAAAAATTAGTTAAAAAAAAAAAAAAAAAAAAATAATCCCAGCTACTGGAGGCTGAGGCGGGAGAATCGCTAAAAAAAAAAAAAAAAAAAAAGCAGTGAGCAGAGATCACACCACTGCACTCCAGCCTGGAAAAAAAAAAAAAAAAAAAAATCAAAAAAAAAAATAAAAAATAGGCCAGCGCTGTGGTTAAAAAAAAAAAAAAAAAAAAATTGGGAGGCTGAGGCAGTGGATCACTTGAGGTCAGGAGAAAAAAAAAAAAAAAAAAAAAATGGTGAAACCCCATCTCTACTAAAAATACAAAAATTAAAAAAAAAAAAAAAAAAAAAAGTGGTGCACGCCTGTAATCCCAGCTACTCTGGAGGCTGAAAAAAAAAAAAAAAAAAAAACTCAGAGGCGATGGTTGCAGTGAGTAGAGATCACGCCACTGCACTCCAGTCTGGGCGACAAAGTGAGACCATCAAAAAAATAAATGAATAGGCCGGGAAAAAAAAAAAAAAAAAAAAATCTTAGCACTCTGAGAGGCCGAGGCGGGAGGATTGCCTAAAAAAAAAAAAAAAAAAAAATCCCAGGCAACTTGTTGAAACTAAAACACAAAAAATTAAAAAAAAAAAAAAAAAAAAAACTGTAATCCCAGCTACTCGGGAGGCTGAGGCAGGAGAAAAAAAAAAAAAAAAAAAAAAAAAATTGCAGTGAGCTGTGATCACGCCACTGCACTCCAGAAAAAAAAAAAAAAAAAAAAACCGTCTCAAAATAAATAAATAAATAAATAAATAATTTAAAAAAAAAAAAAAAAAAAAAACTAAAAGAAGCCAGTCACGGCCGGGCGCGGTGGCTCAAAAAAAAAAAAAAAAAAAAAAAGGAGGCCGAGATGGGCGGATCACGAGGTCAGGAGATCGAGACCATCCTGGCTAACACGGTGAAACCCCATCTCTACTAAAAAATATAAAAAACTAGCAAAAAAAAAAAAAAAAAAAAAGTAGTCCCAGCTACTCGGGAGGCTGAGGCAGGAGAATGAAAAAAAAAAAAAAAAAAAAACTTGCAGTGAGCCGAGATCCGGCCACTGCACTCCAGCCAAAAAAAAAAAAAAAAAAAAAGTCTCAAAAAAAAAAAAAAAAAAAAAAAGAAGCCAGTCAAAAAAAAAAAAAAAAAAAAGATTCTGTTTATAGGAAATGTCCAGAATAAGCAAATCCAAAAAAAAAAAAAAAAAAAAAGGTTGCCAGTGCTGGCAGCGAATGGAGAGTAACTGCTAAGGGGGTTCTGGGGATGATGAAAATGTTCTAGAATTGACCGCAACTCTGTGAATATACTAAAAAAAAAAAAAAAAAAAAATTCCAATGGTATGTAAATTGGCATGGGAATTGCATGGTAAAAAAAAAAAAAAAAAAAAAAGCTATTATGTAAAAACAAGCAAAC